GAACGAGGACAAATCTCTCTGTCAGGTTTCAAATGAAGAAGCTTGGGGAGCTCAAGCATTTTCTCAAATTAGAGGTCGACCGAAGGAAGGATGGACTATTCTTGTGCCAAGAAAAATATGCGAAGGACATGCTACTCAAATACGGGATGTTCAATTGCAAGCCAACCTCGACACCGATGGAGACAAATCTGAGACTGTGTGCACATGAATGAAAAGATTTGGAAGATCCAACTATGTATCGACAACTAGTTGGAAGCTTAATCTATCTAACGATGACAAGACCAGATATTTTATTTACAGTTGGTGTGATGAGCCAATATATGCTGAGCCAATATGTGCAGAAGCCAAAGAAGCCTCACTTAGAAGCAATCTGAAGGATCCTAAGATACATCAAAGGTATAGTTAACTATGGTCTTATGTATAAGAAAGAGAAGAATGTGAGGCATATGGCTATTGTGATGCTGACTATGCTGAAGATCATGACACTCGAAGATCTACTACCGGATACGTGTTTAGTCTCAATTCAGTGGTTATATCTTGGTGCAGCAAAAGACAATCAACAGTGTCACTGTCAACTACAAAGGCGGAGTACAGATCAGCAGCGATGGCAGCTCAGGAAAGCACGTGACTTTTTTAATTAATGAGAGATCTACATCGGCCCACAGACTATTCGGTAGCTTTACATTACGATAATTAGTCTACAATACGATTGACAGATAATCTAATTTTTCATGCTAGGGCAAAACACATTGAAGTACATCATCTTCGAGAGAAAGTTCTTCAGAAGGAGATCGTAATGAAGCCAATCGAGACAAACGAACAAATCGCTGACATATTCACCAAAGCACTAAGCACTTGAAAGTTTACAATATTTCGTAGTTAGCTTGGACTCATGGATAGAGAAGTCGCTGTTGAGGGGGAGTGTTGAAGTCAGCATCTTCTTCTCCTACCTAACCCCTCCACCTACCAAACCATCATCCTAATAGTGTCCACCCACCACTAAATAGTCACCACCAACCCCTTCACCAACTAGTGTAAGAACTCTATATAAGGGGCCAAAGATGAGTGTATGAAGCATCCCAAGCCACTGAGAAAGAATAAAAGAAAGAGTGAAGAGCTTGTGGATACAGAGAGGAAAAAATAAGAGTAGTGCGGTGAGACCCAGTAGCACATAGAGAAAGAGAAAGATAGATAGAGAGAGAGTATTTGTATTTGAGATTATAGTGTGTTTGTACCACTAAAAAATAATAACAATATATTCTTAGTGCCTACCACTCCTCTAACTCAACAATGTTGTCAAACATACCCTAAGGCCCCGTTTGGTACGCGGGAATGGGGTAGAATGAAATATCATTCTCACTTCTTATTCCCTCATATCAAACAAAATTTGTTTTTAGATGTTAGAATGACCATTCCCATGGAATGATCATTCCCACTTTTTGTGGGAATGGACATTCCAAGTGAGAAGATAGAGAATGATCATTCTCATTCAAGGGGAGAATCAAATTAGTTAGGTTTTTTTTTTCAATTATACCCCTATTAATAATAAGAATTAATTTAAAAGGGGAGAATCAAATTAGTTAGGTTTTTTTTTTCAATTATACCCCTATTAATAATAAGAATTAATTTAAAAATCATGGCTTTTGACTACGTATTTCAATTATACCCCTATTAATAATAAGAATTAATTTAAAAATCATGGCTTTTGACTACGTATTCTTATTTTCTCTCAGCTACTAATTATATTCGAACAATAGGAATTTTTCACTGGGCAGGGATTAAAATTAGTGGTACATATTTTAGTAGCATATTAAAACTAGCGGTACATATTTCATTAGCCTATTATATCACAATCATATTAAAACTAGCGGTACATATTTCATTAGCCTATTATATCACAATTGCTCAACATAGGAGCAACACAATTTAATATAAAAACAGATACAACTGAAACTATATATTATTTGCCGATTGAAATTCTTTCATGTTAATATTTTTTTTTGGTCAATCAATTTTTTTTTGTTTATTCACCAATATTTAAAGTCTGTTATTTTCACCAGCATATTATATTCTTTTTAAACTTTTGTTATTGTTTTCCCACCATAGAGAACTATATGTACCCATAACGTACACAGTGCCGGCCCTAGCTTAAGGCAATTAAGACATTTGCCTTGGGCCTCAGCTTGGGTAAGGCCCACCCATGACCCACCCACAACTTGTAGTTATAGTCCTCATAGGCCCTTGTGAAAGGTTGCGAGCACGCTTACTGGTTTGTTTTACGACTTACTTCATTTATTTTGCGTTGTTTTTTTATCTGTTTTAGTAAAGATTGAATCTGTGTGTTTATTGTGGATTCACAGATGTTAGGGTTGGTTATGCGTTCTTATTTTGGGGTGAGGAAAGGGGTATTGATAATTTGGAGGTGATTTGAGTGTTGGGTTTAGCTGGGTGGTCTATATTATCATAATGGATTGTTGCAAATGGGTTCCAAATGGGTTCTTGGAAGTAATATTAATGCATGTATGTGTCGTTGGTTTTATGGTGTTTTGTATTGTTTGGAAAATGTAAATTTCAGTGTCTAGTTATGATGCGGAGAAAATGATGTTGATTAACTTGAAGGTTTGAGGTTTAGGTAGTTTAGGGTCTAGATTATGATCATGGGTTCATGCAAATGTGTTTTCGGAAGTAGAGTGTATAGTTTAGTTTATTTGATCATATTTAGTTGTTTCTATTCAAATTTATAGCCTGAGTTGTTTCTATTTCAAATTTATAACCTGAATTGTTTCTATTCAAATTTTAAAAGTAGAGATTAATAGTCCAATTGAAGTGTTGAACTATATAAAGTGGTTAGATTCTTTTCTAAATACTTGTATTGCTTATCGTGTATTATTGACTATACCCGTAACAGTTGCTTCCGTTGAAAGAAGTTTTTCAAAATTAAAATTACTAAGATCTTATTTAAGATTGACCTTGTTAACAAGATAGATTGAATGGTTTAGCAATATTATCTATCGAAAATAATATGTTGAAAATGTTGAATATAAAACTTTAATTAGTAATTTTGCAGCTCAAAAGGTAAGAAGAATGAGATAAAAATCTATTATGAGTTGTATCATTTGGGCCTCATCTAATATTTCGCCTTGGGCCTCAAAATTCCTAGGTACGGCCCTAAACGTACATGTTTGATTGTGGTTCATGCACAACAATAAATCTAACTTTTGATTGAAAGATATTTAATCCAATATTTATGAAAAGAGGAAACTCTCGCTGAGAAGTTGGCCAAAATATTAAAATTATCAAAATCATATCATGTCTAGACTATATATAGAGGTATAAGGGCATTATTATAACACATACCTAGATTAATATAACATATGCAGAAATAGTGATAATTGTTTACAAAATATAAACGAAACATACACCTGATCGATAACATGCGCATTAGTATAACACATACCTAGATTAATATAACATATGCATAAATAATTTTTTTTAGTTATTATCATTAATGTTTATTTTTATCTTATTAAAAATCTATGTTCTTATAAGGGCATTAGATTTTCATTCAACTCTCACTTGTGAACTAGTGATACCAAACATGGGATTGGGAATTAGATTTTCATTCTAGCTTCATTCTACAAACGCACCCAAACAAGAGAATGAGAATGACTATTTCATTCCCACATACATTCCATTCCATTCATTCTTCCATTCCATTCTCACTTGACTTCATTCCCACGTACCAAACGAGGCGTTAGGACTTTATGAGTACTTACCTTACAATTCCAACGAGTTTTGAGGTTAAGTAACAAATCCAGACAATCATCTGCTTGCTACATTCTATTTCAATAAAGGGAAAAACCGAAATAAGTACCCCTTTTCGGATAGCTTTGCAGTACTCCAAAATTATCCTCGATATTTTTTTCCTTTGATACCGTTTGCAAGTTGAGCATTCTTTTTTCAATAATAATAATAATGATAAAATAAAATAAAAATCTAAAGAACTCCAAGGAAACTAGGCTTCATAGATATTTCTTTTTTAATTAATGTGTTATACAATGTAGCATTAGCAAATAATTTTCTGATGAAGACACTTCTACCATGCATAAACCAAGGTAGCTCCGAAACATAAAAATAAAAAAGGGGCAGAATAAAAATAAAAATGAAAACCGGAATAGCTAGTGATTGCATCTACTTTTGAGGATATTCGAGCCGAAGAACTCAATAAGTATGAAGCCGCTCGACGTCATATAGCTGAGGAAGAGGTTGAGGTTGAACAACTGCAACAGCTACACGCCCAAAAACAAGCTGAGCTGACACTTTCGAATACTTCTCTGGAGAATTTGTGAGAGAAGATCGCTGCCGCTGAAGTGGAGTTGACTAGGATGAAGGCTCAGTTCAAATGAGAAGAAGTTATCGTCACTGAGCTCAACGTCAAAAGTGCCACTTCCCTAGTGAATTACCGTGCCAAAGATTCCATTCCATTCATTCTTCCATTCCATTCTCACTTGACTTCATTCCCACGTACCAAACGAGGCGTTAGGACTTTATGAGTACTTACCTTACAATTCCAACGAGTTTTGAGGTTAAGTAACAAATCCAGACAATCATCTGCTTGCTACATTCTATTTCAATAAAGGGAAAAACCGAAATAAGTACCCCTTTTCGGATAGCTTTGCAGTACTCCAAAATTATCCTCGATATTTTTTTCCTTTGATACCGTTTGCAAGTTGAGCATTCTTTTTTCAATAATAATAATAATGATAAAATAAAATAAAAATCTAAAGAACTCCAAGGAAACTAGGCTTCATAGATATTTCTTTTTTAATTAATGTGTTATACAATGTAGCATTAGCAAATAATTTTCTGATGAAGACACTTCTACCATGCATAAACCAAGGTAGCTCCGAAACATAAAAATAAAAAAGGGGCAGAATAAAAATAAAAATGAAAACCGGAATAGCTAGTGATACAAAGATATTAGATAAAACAATACATACCAACAAGCTGGAGCCAGTGACAGAGCCGAAGGAGGCGGCCATTGAAGCTCCAGAAAGAGCAAGCTCCCCTAAATGACCCACAAACATGACTGATATCACCTGAAGAAGGAACATCAACACATTTGCAAGTATTAAAGGCCCACCAAGGCCCAATTGCTTACGGATCTCAGCCATCACCACCTTCTTCTCCATTTAAGACAGAGTTATCTCTCTCTGGAGCTGGAAGAGCTGATGCCTATATGGAAGCGAGAAGGGGAGGGCAACGGAGGAGGGAACAAATGGCGTTAGAAGGCTTGTGAGCTGCTGCCACGTTGCCAACGGAGGTGAAGCAAATCTCAGTGAGGGCATTAAATTCACAACGGACAACTTTTGGAAACAAATTAAACAATGTTTTTGGTCCGCTGCATGTATCAAAGGTGTGGCTTATTTTGATTTTTGGCGCTGATTCAACAATGTACCATCTTTTCCAAGTAGATAATAGTTTTTGACCTATTGCATTAATGTTAATTTAATGCACACATTTTTAAGTCTACAAATTCAACGTGTAATGGAGAGTACAACCACACAAACTAGGAATGAGTGCAATACACGGGAGTATGGTAAGTGTTAGATTTAGATTGTATCATAACCGCCTACTAAATAATCAACGCTTGAGATTAAAAGTAGTGGTCTCTCCACTACTTTTTTGTAGTGGAGATGATCCAAATCCCTTAACAGATTCGGCAGATAATGTCATCACGTAGGTTCTCCGAGTATAACCAGGTTGCAATTAATGTCAGCAACAATCAACAAGGATTTGTAATAAATCTCTCAAACTCTAATCTCACCTCCTTATGTTATTCCCACCCCCCCAAGATTGGATACGATAGGCGGAGCTAACATGCTTACTTTTGTACAGACTCGAAATTACAAAAAGAAAAATTGAAACACTAAATTAAATTTGACTTTTGTGGGCCAATGCTAAATGCTGCCAACCAACAATTGGGGTCTTGGAGGGTGCAATTGCGTAGGGATTCAATTCTAGAGTGATTAACTTGGAGTTGTTTTATGAGACTTGGGGGGATTTAATAGCAACTTCAATGATTTGAGGGACTAAGGGTCAGTTTGTTTGTTTTTTGTTCTGTTTTTTTTTTCCAAAAGCACCCAATAATTGTGCTCGGTAAAATTTTTTTGGCATGCTTTTTAAAATTGATTTTGCTTTTAAGTTGCTTCTGTAAGATACTTTTATAAGCAAATTATTATATGCTTCAACAATATCAAACTAAATCTAAGAACTTTACAGAATTTCAGTGATTTGAGAGACTAATGTCTAAATATTAAGATTTTAGGGACTAAGAAAAAACCCTACTTTTAAAGCAGAACTAATAATCATAAATTATTTATTTGCTCGCACATAGTATTATACGAGAGAAGCACAATTGGTAAGTTATAAACTTATGTTATTGAATATGGTCCTTTCTCCGTTCACACCAAAGTGTGCGCCTGCCTGTCCTTACATGGAACTGGGTGAGCTTGAATTTCCTTTCAGGGTGCATTTGTTCACCCTAAATTATTGGAAGCAATGTGTTTTTGGGATTTGAAACAGAATATAGCAAAAATGGCATTATAGGATTCCATTACTTTTGTTTGGTTAAAAAAAAAGAAATATTTCTTATAAAACAAGTACATAAATCTACTTCTCTATACAAATGGGAGAACCAAAGATTAACTGTCCATGCTACAGTTGTATTTACTGTAGTATTTATTGCTGTAGCAAATTGGGAATCTACTTCTCCATACAATTGGGAGAACCAAAGATTAACTGTTCATACTACAGCAAACACCACAGTTGCATTTACTGTAGTATTATTATTGTAGCAAATTGGAACCGAATTACTGTATTAATTTTTTTAAAAATATTACTCTAGCACACGGAAATGTTGTAGCATTTTTTTTAAAAGCACTACAGCAGAGGTGGGGATACTGTAGCAATTTAAAAATATCACTGTATAGCATTTAAAAAACAAGAGTACTGTAGCAGGAAAAAAAAAGATATGTCGTGCTTTGCACGGTGTTCACACTGATTTTTGGAATAGCCAATTCATTAGTTTTGAATGGGAAATAGGCAAAAAATTTTGACAGAGGTATGTCAACATCATCCTCACCCTATTTTCCTTTTCTTTAGCATGTGATTCCATGATAAAAATCAGCGGCCTCTAGAGTTAGCTCCCTCATTTTGTTCGCACGTCATTATTTGAGGTTCCTCTCAAAGAGAACTCTAGTTCCTCTTTCATCCCAATTCGTCTGTCATTTGGTTTAAAATTTTGCTCTAAAAGGTCAAGTCGAAGCATTTGATTATAGATTTGGGTTTAGGCGATCCCTATTGAAGATGAACCAAATGCACCTTTAGTTTCTTTTGGGTCTAGGCTGACGCCTAGGCGTAAGTGGTCCTCTGGCCGGTGGCTGCTCAAAAATGGCCTGAGCCGGTCTAGGCGTCAATCTCGCGGATTGAGATCCTCTACTCATCAATAGTGGTTCCTAATATTTGTTAATGCATCTCCACCTTTCATTTTGTGAGACTATCTTTCATTTTGTGCTTATCCACAAAATGAAAGGTGGAGATTCATTAGCAAATGTTAGGAGCTACTATTGATGAATAGAGGATCCCAATCCCAATCCCAATCCCGCCTAGGCGAGCTGATCAGGTTTTCATGTAAAAAGTCCAAAATGGGCCCAAATCAGCCCAGCCCGAAAACATTCAAACGAACATGAGTTTCTATAGCCAACGCCGACCCAATATCTCAAAAACCGACCCACAAACTTAAGCCCAAACCCTAACCTAAACGCGCGCTCTCTCTCTGCCTCCATCGAAACCCAAACCCTACCTCAAAACCGGACCTCCGCTCTGCGACTTCCTCTCTCACCGCTGCGACTTCCTCTCTTTCGCCGCAGCTTCTCGGACCTCCGCTCTGCGACTTCCTCTCTCACCGCTGCGACTTCCTCTCTTTCGCCGCAGCTTCTTCCTCTCTCGCCGCCGCAACTCCTCTCTCGCCGCCGCTGCTCTAGCCACCTCTGACTTGATTAGGTAAAAATTTGGAGTCTATTTTTTTTCGATTATTTTTTGCTGCCGATTTTTAATTTGATCTAATTCCTTGTTACGACTGGGTTATTAACTATTTATTTTAATTGTTTCACGTTTTTTTTGTTGCAATTTTATGTGAATTCAATGTCGCTCCTGTTTATTATTATTATTATTATGTTTTACCCGTAGGCGAAGAGTATGCTTTCCACATGTCACTCGATTGAGGGTTTAGACAGACCTAATTGCATACCCTTATAGGTGTTTGTGTTAAAAGTATAGAGACTAAATTATCAATTATTATTTGCCAGCCAAATTTATTGAGTTATGAATCATTATCTTCAAAATACCAGATAAAGTCTTATATATTTGAGAGTTAATGGAACATCCAAGTGAATCCCTGGTCCCTGCAAAGTCATCCACTGTAACAAGTCATGATGCAGATACATTTAGTATGTGTATCATGAGCATCTTACTGTATGGGATAATATCTTGAGACATAAATCTGTTGCGACCTGGATTCATCACGAGTGACATATTTTGTATGGAGTTTACATGCCATCAGATTCCACCTAAACACGTTTTATTTAGTTTTTTGATATGATTTGGTAAATACCTTGCTTTCATGAATTCATATTGATACGATCCTTCTATAAAGTAAATAAGAAGGTCATTGAGCTTTTTTCTTTTACACTTTTCTCCTACCTGTTAGGTTTCTAAAAGTTGTACTTGATGTTAACTTACGCCTCTTAAAATTACATTTGAATTTAGTATGAGTCTCTCATTTGCGACTCTAAATTGACTTCTGACAGTGCTAGAGGCACTTTTTAGAACCTAGTAAACAACACTCTTGACAGTACCATAAGCAATATTAGAAACTTAGCAATATTTAGAGCCCCACAATTGACTCGTCACAGTACTAGTCTACTAGAAGCTTTTTGAACTTAATATCTGGTATTGAGACATCTTCTTTGCCAATATGCCTCTCTGCTTCAGTTGGTGAAATTGATTGTGAAGGTTTGGATCGAGAGGTTAAGAAAATGGGGAAGGAAAGTAAGCTGGGTTCGAAAAAGAAAAGACGAAGGGAAAAAGGGAGTCAAGTTGATGCAAACAATGATGATCAGAACCAAGCAGATGAACATGCAGATAATGAGATGACACATTGTAAGTTCTTTTGTTTGGATTTTGTTTATGTATGAATAGGATGCTATCATGCTAGTATTTTTATTTTTACACTTTTTGTTTGCTTTAATCAAACTTAAGATAAAATTATAGTTTCCATCCAAGTATCTAAAATTATATGTTATCATTATTAGAGTACTAGACTACTACGTAACATGATATATATTTGTTAATGCTTTAATGGAATATTCAAGTGGAAACTCTGACAAGTTGCTAATAAAGACACATATTTAGTATGTTGCTAATGAAGACATATCGTTAGTATGTCATTTTATTTTTAGTTGAAGACTTCCTGGAACACCACTGGCCATGGTCCAATGTAGCCCCATTGTTTGGAAAATATTTAATTGATCAATGTATTTATGGGTTTTGGTATAGTGTACCCTCTTCCACACATTGAACGAATACAAGAAACATGATAACAAACATGGTCCAATGTAGCCCCGTTATTTGGGAAATATTTTCTTCTACCTCTCTAAATTATGGAGTTCTATTGCAAAATTGCAACTTTTTCTATGGTAACCCAAATTTTAGTGAATTCTAGTCAAAGCATACTGAACAACTAAAAATTAGAACTTTTACCCTTTACGTAAAAATAATTTGCAATATAAACAATAAAAAGAAACTTATGGTGTGTCACTGGATCAATTTTCTTATTTTCCTTCTTTACTTTCAACCTGCTCCTCTTCTCCTTCTTCTAAAGATTCAATTTTTCTGCTGTATCTTTGCTCTCAATAACAACTTCTTCATTCTTAAAATTCAATACACTATTCTTCTTTTGGCATTTCCTTCTCTAGAATTTTCGGCTCTGCAATGCATCAAAATTAAAAGGGAGAACAAATTGAGCCGAATAAGAATAAGAATCAAGAAATTGCTAGTACATTTGATAATTTCTAGGGTTTTTTTTTGCTCTTCTGATCTTTTAGCTTCCTCTCCTTGAGTTTCTCTGATGACATTTTCAAAATTTTCCCTTGTTTTTTTCAATTGACATTGCAATGTGTGAGGCGCCTTCGTAGGATTTTGGAGAGCAAATGATGAAGTGGATATAGAACTGAACAGAGGTTGTGCTTCGGTGATTTTAGTTCCACTTTAAACATTGGTTTTTTATTATTCCTTAAAATCTTAATATTTAGAAATTAGTCCCTCAAATCATTAAAATTCTGTACAGTTATTAGGGCTAGTTTGGTATTATTAGAGCTTATAATAGGTTAACTATAAAAGCTACTTATACGAGCAACTTAAAAACAGAAGCGGTTTTAATAAGCATGCCAAAAAAATTTCACGAAGCGCAATTATTGGCCGCTTCATAAAAAGTAATCAGAAGCACCTTAAAAAAGCAATACCAAACTGGTCCTTTGTCCCTCAACTAATTGGAATTGCTATTAGATCCCCCATCTTATAAAAGAACAAGTTAATCCCTCTAGCATTGAACCCCTACGAAATTACACCTTCCTATTGCGAGGGGTACAAGTTGGTTAAAAGCATTTTAGTATTGCCCTACAAAAGTCAAATTTAATTTGTTGTTTTGACTTCTTTTAGGAGATAATTTTGACTCTATACTCAAAAAATCTTATCATGAAAATATGTATGTTAGCTCCGTCAATTGCATCCAATCCGAGGAGAAAATACAACATGAGGAGGTGAGGTTAGTATGAGAGATTTATTACAATCATTGTTAATTGTTATTGACATTGACATTACAACCTGGTTATACTCCACCACCTTCTTCTCCATTACTATTGAGCTTTCTCTCTCTTCTATATCTAGAATTAAGTTGATAATATCTATGAAAGTGAGAAAAGGAGGGCAATGGAGGAGAGAACAAATGGCTTTAGAAGGTTTGTGAGTTGTTAGCACGTTGCACGTTGCCAATGGAGGTGAGTGGAATCTCAGTGTTTTTGGGTCCATTGTATGTATCAGAGGTGTGGATTTTTATTTGTTGCTCTAATTCAGCACTATACAATCTTTTCCAAGCGGATATAGTTTTTTTATCTATTGCATTAATGTTAACCTAATGCACACATTTCTAAGTCTACACATTCAATGTGTAATAGAGCAATGTTATCAATGCGCAAGGCGCAATAAGAGATGCAATGCGGGGCGCAAGGCATCTTTACGCGCACATGCGCAAGGCGCAACGCGATGCGTGCGCCCGAGTGATGCGAGGCGCACACCGCCCACATAAATTTTTAAAATATATAACCAAGCGCGGAAGAACATGTTTTTAGAATTCACATGTAAAATGTCATGATAAATAGTATCTTACTACAAAATCACAATATAATACCTTAATTTCTAATGCTAACACTCAACATAGTAGCAAAATTCATAAATTTTCAAATCAAATGTTAAATCAAGACTAATATCAAAGCAAAAGATTAGTAATGGTCCTCAATTGAAGGCTACTAAAATTCCTAATGAGTTTATTTTGCTTTTTAGGATATGGAATATCAAGTATAAAGACTCGATTGAAATGTTAACAAACAAAACTATATGAGGGTATGTAGTACATGCACCCTACACAAAGTAAGAATGTACACGAGGCGCAAAAAACACTGCTACATCAGAAGTGGGGCGCTTCTCCACTGCCCTGCATCGTAAGGCGCATGAGGCGCAGTGAGGTACGACCTTTGAAAACACTGTAATAGAGTATAACAACTAGATCCCTCATGTTAACAATAATAGAACATGGTATAACCACAAAAGCATAGGGTCTTAACAGATTCAACAAACAATGTCATCAGGTAGGTTCTTAGAGTATAATTAGGTTGCAATGTCAATAATAATTAACAAGGATGATAATAAATTTCTCAAACTCTAATCTCACCTTCTTATGTTGTTTTCCCCTCGGATTGGATACAATAGGCGGAGCTAATATACATATTCGTATGATAAGATTTTCAAAATATAAAGTTGAAATCATCACAAAAAAGTGGAAACACTAAATTAAATTTAGATTTTGTAGGGCAATGCTAAATGTTGCTAACCAACTTGTACCCCTCATAATAGGAGGGTGCAATTTCGTAGGGGTTCAATTCTAGAGGGATTAACTTGAAGTTATTTAAGAGACTTGGGAGATCTAACTTCTAATAGCAACTTCAATGATTTGAGAGGCAGGACCAGCTTGATATCGCTTTTTTAGGGTGTTTCTGTTTACTTCTTTAAGAAGTAGCTAATAATTGCGTTTGGTGAATTTTTTTTGGCATACTTATTGAAACTGTTTCTCTTTTTAAGTTGCTTTTATAAGTAACTCATTATAAACTCCAATAATACCAAACTGATCCTAATAACTTTACAAAATTTAATGATTTGAGGGACTAATATCTAAATATTAAGATTTGAGGGACTAAACCTAGGTATCCTTTTCGTCGTTTGCTCTCCAAACCCTAAGAAGGCACCTCCCACCATGAAAAATCAATCGAAAAAAATAAGGAAACAAAAATTGAAAATGTCACCAGAGAAGCTCAAGAAGAGGAAGATAAAAGATCTGAAGAGCAAAAATTCCCTAGAAATCATCAAAGGTACTAGTAATTTCTTGATTCTTATTTTTATTTGGCTCAATTTGTTCTCCCTTTTTTATTTTGATGCGTTGCAAAGCCGAAAACCCTAGATTTTAAGATTGAAGTTGTTATTGAGAGCAAATATATAGCAGAAAGATTGAATCTTGAGAAGGAGAAGAGAAGCAAGGTGGGAGTAAGGAAGGGAGATTAGAAAATTGATCCAGTGATGCGCCGGAAGTTTCTTGTTTATATTGCAAATTATTTTCATGTCAAAATGTAATTTTTAGCTATCCAGTATGTTTTGATTAGAATTAATCATTGTATTTTAGGTTTTGAAATCTAGAAAAAGTGGCAAATTTGTAACAGTACTCCATAATTTTGAGAGTTAGAAGAAAAGAAGAGGAAATGGGAGGGAAAATGAAGTGAAACAATAGGTAATTCGATGGCAATGATGGTGATATGATGTTTGTTAGTTGTTTTCATCGTTGTAATTTTAATTGACCTAACATAATGCAAACAATTCCTATGTTTTAGATGTAAAACAATTAATTTTCACTTTCTAGGTTTCTATAATTAGTGATGGGTACATTATAGTTTACAACAGAATCTAGAGAATTATTGGTAATTTGATGTTCAATGGTTTCTAGATTGGGTCAAATGTGTGGCTAGGTTCTATTTTTTTATTTTAATGTAATTTCAAATTTAGTTTTGGCTCCCTATTATGAGTTTTATTTATTTATTTATTTATTGATCAAAGCGAAGTTTACTCTTAGAAATAAGTAGTTACGACAAAAACCGTGGTATTAAATTTGTTTATTATTTAGGAAAGTACTTTAGACAGAAGTTGATTCCTAAAAGTACTAGAAATGATTGTGGAAGACTTAATAACAACCTTAACAACCTATATCTTACTACTATAAGGATTTTCTTTTCGAATTACTCTATCTATATGGTAGAAGTTCTATTTGCTAATGTCAAACCTTTTATACAGTGGAGGAGATTTATCATTTGAACTTGTGCCCAGAGCACAAGGGACTAAAGAAGGAGAAGAAAATTAAGCCGAGTTTGAAGAAGAAAGGGAGACAGGAAAAAGGAAATGAAGTTGATGCTAGTAATGAGGAGAAAATTGAGGCAGATGAACATGCAGGTAATCTGATGATGTGTTGTGAATTTTTTGATATTCTCTTATTTCTTTTTGCTTGGATAAACTTTAATTTGTACACATGTATGAAGCTGTTGCTAATAATGCTTGCACTACTGAGTTTGCTTCAATCAAGGCAAGATTTTTGCCTTTTGGCAAGTGCAATTGCTTATGCAAGAGCTTATGGTTCTGCAAGGACGAACATAGTAAAATTATATTAATAAATGCTTTTGTATATAGATGTTACAAATTTAATCTCATAAAATTTAATGTGCGGTTAAATAATTATGAGTCTATGAAGAGAAATAAAAAAAGGTGAATCCTATGTTTTTTTAAAGATATCTGTCATATTTCATGCAACTCTTTGGTGCTAATGTGCTATTACTGTCAGATGCGCCATCCAAGAGATAGAGGGCATCTCATGTAACATTTAATCCATCTCCCATTATCTCTTGATGATCTGATAACGAGTATCATCTATAAGAAAATTTAAGAAAAACTGTATATGTTAAATTTTATTTGAATATGTATTTGAAATAACAGTTATTTTAATGTGTTATGATGCCGTCAGAGGTATTTTATAGCTATTTAGGGTGTTAAAAAATCATTAGAAGTTGAGAGTAGTGCAAGATGTCATGCTGATAAACTATTTATACTAAGGCAATTTGAGATCTGAGGTGACACTTCAGGCGATATTTGTGTGGCGGCTCCTTATAGATAGATATACATGAGTCGGATGATTCAAACTGGTCATCTTGGTTTTTTCAAAAACTCTCCGTACAAGGAGTTTTTTAGAGAGTTTTTCATGCATAAAGCCACAATGTCACAACCAAAGTGTACGCTTATCTGCCCCTACATGGAACTGAGTGAACTTGTATTTCCTTTTAGAGGGTGTTTGGTTCACTCTGAATTATTGGACACAATGTGCTTTTTTTGGATTTGGAGCAAAAAGTAGCAAAAATGACATTATAGGATTCCATTACTTTCATTTGGTTCAATAAAAAAAATCTAAGAAACGTTTTCAATAGAACAAGGGAAGTACACAAATTTTTGGAATAACCAATTCATTAATTTTAGATGGCAAATGGGCAAAAAATCTGACAAATGTATGCCACATTATCCTGGCCCTCATTTCCTTTTCTTTATCACGTGATCACATGATAAAAATTAGCGGCCCCTAGAGTTAACTCCCTGTTTTGTTTGCACCTCATTATTTCAGGTTCCCTCTCAAATAGAACCCTAGTTCCTCTTTCATCCTAATTCCCCATCACTTGTTTAAATTTTTGCTCTATAATGTCAGATCGAAGCATTCAATTGTCAATTTGGGTTTAGGTGAACCCTATTGAAGATGAACCAAACAGACCCTTAGTTTCTTTTGTGGGAAGAAGTTGAACAGAATGTACTTGGATAAGATATAGCTTTGATGTTCAAATTGGTGACTATCGTAAATAGGTTTAGAAAATGTTCTAAAAGCGGCCTAGGCGGACGCCTAGCGTAAGTGATCCTCTGGCCACTCAAAAATGGCCTCAGCGGGCAGTCTAGGCGTCAATCACACCTAGGGCTGAGTAGTCCGCCTAGGTGAACCCCTCAAGTTTTCATATAAAAAAGCACATAATGGGCTCAAGTCAGCCCAAACACAAACATTTAAACCAAAACAATTTTTTATAACCAATGCCAACCCAATATCTCGAAACTCAACCCACAAACTTATACGTAAATCCTAACCTAAGCACTCATTATTTCTCTTTCCCCACTTCGCACTTGCAGCCACTGAAACCCAAACCCTATCTCAAAACCGGACATCCGCCTTGCGACTTCCTCTCTCGCCGTTGTGATTTCCTCTCTCGCCACCGCATCTTCCTCTCTCTCTGCCACATCTCACTCTCTCTCGCCTCAGCTTTGTCCTATCTTGTCGCCGCAACTCCTCTCTCCCTGACAACCAATGTTTTAAATATCGGTTATCGGAGATTTATCGGACGATCAAAATCATTATCGAATAGCGAAAATCGGGGATATATCAGGGATAAGTAGTATTTATCAGAGTGATATACCATATGATGTGTATATATAATATAATACCCCAAATTGTAATTTAACCATACACCCCTCTTTCATTCTCTCAACTTTTACTAAATAACTAGAGAAAAAATCAATTGAATAGTGAATATTTTTTTGTTGCTACAACTTCAGAAGTTGTGTTGAAGGCGTAACGTCGATGGAGAGTCCAAGTCGAACTGTCGAAGTCACAGTTGATGATGGGTCGATGGAGAAAGCTCGGCATCGATGGAGAGCTCAGCGTCAGTCAACGTCGTCGAGTCAATCAAACCAATTGATGACGGAGTCAATGGAGAGAGCACATCATCAGTCAAAGTCGTCAAGTCGATGAAGTTAATGCTGATGAGAGAGAAGCGTCGAATAGTGAAAGTCGATCGCGTTGAGGTCAGCGGAGTCCGAAGAGTAGCGGAGGCGAGCGTCGAAGTCAGCCGAGGCGAGCGTCAAGGTCGACGGAGTCCAAAGAGAAACAAAGATCAGAGGATTAGGGCAGTGGACATAGCTGCACAAATGAGGGGAGAGAGAACAGAAGATTAGGGCTATTTAATCGAGTTTAAGTTTTATTGTAAAGAACGGGTTGTGTCGGGTTTCAAGTTTACTCAAAAACTACCCATTACCCAAAATCACAACCCAATAGTGTGGCCAGATAATTCCGATTTTTAGAGCCACAAATATCGGCCGTATTTGTTACTGTCGCACAGATAGGGGATTCAAAATTCACTATTGATGCTACAATAAATTACTGTAGCATTATTATTGTCGCACAAGCGGGAACTATAGCGTTTAAAAACATTACTGTAATATTATTACTGTAGCTCAAGGAGATACTGTAGCATGTAAAAAATGTTATTGTAGCACTTACGAAAACCTGCATTTAAATACAGAATTACTAGCAGAAATAAGAAATGGAGATCGTGCTTTGCATGGGGTTCACACTAGTACATATTTCATTTTTATAACTTATTTTTAACTTATACAATAATTATTATCGCCGATAAACCCCAAAAAAGATAACCGATTTAAATTCTAACTTATTCTATCGGAAAGCTCCCAAAACCGATAACTCGGGAATAATATCGGATTATCAACCGATATTTAAAACCTTGGACGCAGCTCGTCCCTTGTCGCTGCTTCTCTCTAATTATCACTGTTCTAGCCACATCCGACTTGGTTAGGTAATTCTGAAGTCAAATTTTTTATTTTTTCGATTATGTTTTGGTGCTGATTTTTTATTTGATCTAATTCCTTATTATGAATGAATTATTAACTATTTATTTTAATTATTTTATGTTTTTTGCAATTTTATATGGATTTAATACTTGTTATTGTCAATTATTATAATCAAATATGTTAAAAAATAGCCAGCAAATGCTAGTCTGCCTAATGCTTTCTGTGACATTTGGATTAGAAGAAAGGTGACTCTTGTTTATCACATGTCACTCAGGTATAGACAAACCTAATTGCATACTCTCATAGGTGTTTGTCTATAAGTGTAGAGATTAAATTATTAATTTTATTTGTCAGCCAAATTTTTTGAGTTATGAATCATTATCTTCAAAATACCAGATAAAGTTTTATATATTTGAGACTTCATGGAACATTCAAGTGATTCCTTGGTCCCTGCAAAGTCATTCACTGTTACAAGTCATGATGCACATTTAGTATGTGTATCATGAATATCTTACTGTATAAAATACTATTTTGAGACATAGATCTGTTATGACCTGGATTCATCATGAGTAACATATTTTGTATGAAGTTTACATGCTTTCAAACTCCATTTAAACATGTTTTTTTAGTTTTTGATGCGATTTGGTAAATACTTTGCTTTCATGAATTAATGTTCATATGATCCTTCTATAAAGTAAATCAGAAGGTTATCGAGCTTTTTTCTTTTACTCTTTTCAGTTTTCTACCACCTGCTAGGTTTCTAAAAGTTGTACTTGATGTTAACTTACGCCTCTTAAATTTACATTTGAATTTAGTATGAGTCTCTCCTCTGATTTTTGACTCCAAATTGACTTCTGACAGTGCTAGAGGCAATTTTTAGAACTTGGTAAACAACACTTTTGACAGTACCATAATCAATATTAGAAACTTAGCAATATTTAGAACTCCACAATTGACTCCTGACAGTAGTAGAAGCTTTTCGAACTTAATATCTAGTATTGAGACATCTTCTTTGCTAATGTGCCCCTCTGATTCAGTTGATGAAATTGATTGTGAAGGTTTGGATCGCGGGGATAAGAGAATGGAGAAGGAAAGTAAGTTGGGTTTGAAAAAGAAAAGAAGGGGAAAAGGGAGTCAAGCTGATGCAAACAATGAAGATCAAATCCATGCAGATGAGCATGCAGATAATGAGATGACACATTGTAAGTTCTTTGATTTGGTTTGGATTTAGTTTCTGTATGAATAGGATGCTGTCATACTAGTATTTTTATGTTTACGCTTTTGGTTTGCTTTAATTAAAGTTAAGATAAAATTATAGTTTCCATCCAAGTATCTAAAATTATGTATTATCAATTATTAGAGACTTAGAGTACTTGACTACTAGGTAACATGGTGTATATTTGTTAACACTGTAATGGAATATTTAAGTGGAAACTCTGAAAATAGCTAATGAAGGCATATTTTTAGTATGTTGCTAATGAAGACATTGTTAGTATGCCATTTTATTTTTAGTTAAAGACTTCATGGAGCACCACTGGCCATGGTGCAATGTAGCCCCATTATTTGGAAAATATTTAACTGATCAATCCATTTATAGGTTCTGGAGGAGTAGTGTACTCTCTTCTACACATGTGAACAAATACAACAAACATGATACCATACAAGCTATCACTATCATGGCCTAAATCTAAGCACTTGACGGTCTGACCAATGTGGATGAGACCCAAGTAAAGTTAATTATTCTAATAATTATTAATTAGAAATCATACACAGTACACTTTATATGAGTATCATAAGCTGCATGTTGGTTCATATTGATGATAATCCATAATCCACAATAAGCCCCCACCAAGAACACTCTCAGTAACAACATAAGCTCTATTCAAGAAGAAGCATCAACAGTAATATAAACCTCATTGTCAATAACTGAGGCTTAAAAAGCAAATTTGGTCCTTGCACTGGGACTTCATTCTCAAAGTGGTCCCTGCACTTTATTTTTTCTCAAGTTAGTCCTTGAATCGTATCTCAGTTATAAAGTTAGTCCTTTTTTAGCATTCGTTAAGAAAGGAGTGTTAATTTTTTTAGTTATGACTGTATGGCCCTTAGTGATATGGTAATAGAGGTCCATGTACTTTATATAAATTTAGAATGTGGTGTATTCTAAAAAATGAATGTACATGTGAAGAAATGTCAGAAAATTTTCTCTCTTCTAAAATATTTATTTGTTTTTACTTCCTTTACAATTAAACACTGAACATGGATTTCTCACAAGAATAAACGTACATAGATTTCTCACAACAAATATCTACATTTATAATCATCTATCCAAATGCATCTGCATATATGAGAACTTTTAGCTTCATTATAAAAAAAATGAAATCATTATGATACTTGCATACAACATAACAAGACAAGGACATATGCTTGCATTGTTGAAACTTTTTTTTGTCAATGAAAAGCTTTTTTTCATTTACCATATGAGCAGTTAGAGTACATCATGAACTCGGAAAAGAGCTGAGTTACTAATCAAACAAAAGAGAAAATTACAATTTCTTCATCTACTGTACATCATCATCCCCCCAAGTTGATGTTAAAAATAACAATCAAAATTGCAATGTTTATGGCCTTGACAACATCTTCAGGCTCTCTAGCTTTCTGCATAAAGATAAGATAATTTCACTCCTGCCACGAACAACATATCTTTCAATCTGGAAGGTGAAATGGGACATGCATGCACGCACGCACACTCGCGCATGCGCACCCACACACACGTACACGCGCGTGCGCGCACACCCAACACACACCCAACCCACATGCATGCACACACACGCACACTTCGCGCGCACATGCACACACACATTTCAAGTATTTCAATAAGACAGCTGGCACATGAACTCAATTTTTCGATAGTTTGTTGTTTATAATCTCGTTCTGGTCATTTTCTTGAAATCAGTCGTTTTGTAAAATTAACCATTTGATTTAGAAAATATTTTAACTAAATCAAGTAAAATTTTATTTCTCAACTCAGATAAAAAAGTCCTTGGCATATACTATAAAATTTTCAAGAAATTTTTAGGATATTTAACAAACCCGAACACAACAGCACATAAAAGTAACAAAACAATAACCAAGTTTGATGAATATGATAAACCCTAACCCAAAAAAAAACTAAAAACAAATAACCAATATTTAAAGAATATGATAAACCCTAATACCATAACATATAGATAAAGCAAAATAATAATTTTTGGGGTGAAATACCTATCACAATCCATATTTGCCTTTGATCGTTGCTTGTTTCATCTGCTTTCAATTTCATTATGATCAATTTAGGGTTCCTACGTTTCTCTCGTCTTGTAAGGTTTCTCCCGTTTAACAGCAAGAAAATTTTAATCAAAACTTTTTTGTAATTATCGGCTTCATGAAGAGAGGAAGAGTTCTGATTGGTACCTTGAGGATCTTTTGAGGAGCAATTGTTTTCTTTTGTATCGTTCTTTGAGAAAATAATTACTGATTTTTAATTAATAGCGTCGTAATCAAATATTTGAGAAAGGGTAGAATTGTCTTCTCAAAATTTATTTTACAGAATGTTAAAGAAGGACTAACTTTATAACAGAGATATTGTAGAAACCTTAGAATGATTAAGTTGAGAAAAAAGAAAATACGTGGACCTCTTTGAGAATGAAGCCCCAGTACAGGGGCCAACTTGGTCTTTAAACCTAACTGAAATCATATCATCCAGATGGAAATTATAACAAGTATTAAATATAACAAAATAGATCTCACATAAAAAGAATGAGGGGGAGGAGTAAATGTTTCCATCAGTTGATGAAGATGAGTGAGATAGAGCAAAAGATTGTGTGGATGGAGAAAGAATAGAGAAAGTAAAGGTAGAGATGGAAGTAGGCAGAGGATCTCTTTTTCTTTGAGGTGTTTGGTATCATTAAGGGGAAAAGGTTAGTGTACCTAAATGCTAGAGAGAGAAAACATGTGGCGTGGCAACATGCACTGGGTTACTACAAAGTCCACGCTCCTTATTTACTGACAAAACACTATTACTCTCTTATTTTGTGTTGCTGGTGCTTCCGTTGTTTATACCAACATGTTTTTTTCCATGGAGCTGCTGGGAGATAATTCTTTTCCTTATGCCTTTGTATATACCCTTCCTTATGCTGATCCATTCTTTATCTGTCTTCTTCTTCTGCGAACTAACTTCCTGTCTATAAAGCCTTTAAATTGGAAAATTTTGGAATCAAGTGATACACTGTATTAGAGTATATCATAGAATTAATTAGCTAAGTATTTAGTTAGTGATTGATCTTGTACATAAATAACTAAGTGTTCAATTAAATCTTAATAACCAACTTTTAGTTATTTAGTTATTGCTCAAACTTGTTTTTGTATATACCCTTCTTTGTGCTGATTATACATTCTTTATCTTTTTTCATCAGTGAACCGCATGTCATATCAAAGCTATTCAGATCTTTTTTTTTTCCTTCGGCTTTTCTTTTATTCATTTTCTCATTCTGCTTTTAAGCCATACTGATGGTGATAACACGTCTTTTAGCTCGCAGCAGACACAAAAAGAATTATGATAAAAGATCGACCCGCTCTCAAACATCGAGGGAGGATGGAAATCCTGAAAAACCCGCGGGAACCAACAACAGAACTAAAATAAAAGCTAGTGAGTGTCCTGTCTATAATTTCATTTATCAACTGCCAGTTTACCTTTTTTTTGGCAAAAAGGATGCGTAGTTCAATTTTTTTCTCACAGTTCCTGTTGGCAGAGAAGGTGAACAAAGAAATGAAGCATAAGAAGAAAAATTCTGATATTGTTAAGGAACCAAAATCAGAAGAAACACTTGAAGTTGATGAAGAAAAGGTTGAAGAGATCCCATCAGTTGATGAAGATTGTTCACAAGGAATGAAAAGTACGAGGCTAAACTTGTATCTTTTATATTTTTGTCATGTTATTGTTGCGGCATTTCCTATTTCTAATTTTCGTATGTTTTTTTCTTAAGACATTATGCATCTTAAGTTACACCAAATTTGGATAGCATGTCTTTTTTAATATCCGCAGCACTTTGCTAGATCTTAGATCACGAGTGTTTTAAGAAATGAAGAATGTCCCAACAACAAACCTTCTCTCTCTGTGCTTAGTTGTGTGCACGAGTAATCTGTATCATTTTACCATATTCTTCTATCTATTTTTGAAGTATTTTCTCTTCCTAAAAGAGCTATGAAAGTTTTAGAAGACTTTTGTGCTGTTAATTTAATTTTCTACATTCCTGCAGATTATATGCCCAACTATTTTATCATTTATGTGACAATTATGTTGGTCAAATATCAGTATGATTGTTCTGTCTTCTTTAAGCGTACCATTTGCAAAGTTCAATACTCAAAAGTGTGTAACAGTTTGGTAATTATAACTCTAGACTTCCTCGTTCCTTATAACTTACTCTCACTTATCAAAGCAATAATATAGAAGGAAAATGCTGTAATTGGATTTAGTAAGTGATAATGGAACTCAATAAGTCTGCCCACAAGGTTTCAATGTTCTTTGGGAATGATCTTCATTGTCTTGGTGTCTTGTCAGTCACTTGAAGATATTGAAGTTGAGTACTAAGGCTACCATAAAGAGGTATATTAAATAATTAAGAAGTCAAACTGTTGTATCATTATGCAATTGCCTGCTTGCACATCCCTATTCCCTAATTATGTGCTTGCAAGCATATTTTTTACATTTATACTGCAGCAGAAATATGACATGTAAGTCTGATATCTGATACTGTAAACATTTGAATCTCAAATCATAATTTTTAAAGTTAATCCCTATTTAGTGCAGGAGACGACTGATAATGCATGTGGATTCTGTTTGATTCCGAAACAGACTTGAAGTTAGCCATCTTGAAGCTGCTTTAGATTTACTAGTTATGGCGTTTGGTCCTTAATTTTAGTTTAATCATCTCAATTAATTTACTGTGATTCGTTTGAAACTACTATTTTATTTGGAAGTTTTCTAGAGTTCTAGCTGTGGCTATTATTAAATTTTCTGCTGGGAAGTAATTAGGATGTGTGAACGCTCCGCTGCTTACCAACTAATGCAGGAAATCAAATGTTTCTTCTGCTTGGAGGTACAGATGAAACTTGCACCATGTGTTATTTTTTCCAATAGTATGGTCCTATAGAGAACTTTGAGGCTTTAAAAATGCAATATTGTTTTGTTATCCCTTCCCATCCAAAGTGCATTATGACTTGTCTTATACACTTGCTGACATCAGTAGATAATATTCTTGGATAATCTTTTGGGAATTTGTGTCTTTTAGAGAAGTTAATCTGAGACTAGTTGAAATGTGTTTGATGTTTCCTTATCTTCTTCAGTTTCTCCTGCTACTCGATGTTCTTCCTCTCACTTTCAGCTAATACGTATCTCCTTTGCTTAAAGTTCTGTAGACCTATGCTGAAACATTCACCCACAATTTTCTATTGCCACTTATTCCTCCCTTGTACATTGAGTTGCTAGCTATTGAGTGTGGACGCTTGCTGATGCAGTTTTACCTGTATTGGTCAACCACACACTCTTACACTCTTCTTACGCATATTCTTGTACACTCTTTTTATCATTGTATCTCTTGCTTGAAACATTAATTTGCAAATACACTATGTTCTAGATTGCAAAATCTGTACATAATTTAGTTTCAGATTGAAAACAAAATTGGCTCCACCTGGTTTAATAATCAATCAAGTAAGATTACTACAAGGAGAATTTATTTCATCAATGTGCAAATACATTATGTTCTGGATTGCAAAATCCTGTTGATATATTTCATGCTTCTTTGATATCATACACTTCATCTATATATATACTTTATCTTTATGTTTTTACAGAATGGCTTATTAAATACAAGGATAGCAGACCTGGTTTGAAGATTCTTCAAGATAGAATTGATGACTTCATGGCTGCCTATGAAGAGCAACAGGAACAGGTATATACTAAGTAACACTATTACATTTTCTTTATTCTACATCTCATAAGAAAATGATTGTGATCAGTGTCTTTCTTTACAATGACCTTCACTTGTTTGTGGATAGAATAGCTACGCAATATTGCATATAAAAGCATATGCATTGTCATCCATGTATTTGAACTCGTACTCTGCACTCTCTCACTATATAGCAAATATTGAGACCTGCGAATTGTCATCCATGAATTTCAGCTCGTATTCCGTTTCTCTTGCTATATAGCTTTTGGAACCTCATAAGAAAGTGATCCTGGTCAGTACCTGGCTGTACAATGAAATGGACATGTTTATGGATAAAATAGCAAGTCTATGCATTGCATATAAAAGCGCACTAATTGTCATCCATGGGTTTAACTCATGCTCACTCTTTGACTAATCACTATATGGCAAATCTTCAGACTTGTGAATTGTTATCCATGTATTAACTCCTCCTCTGTATTCTCTCCTATATAGAATTGGATCTAAATTTAATATTCAATGTTCCAATAATTCGTGTGCAAGTATTTGTTTATTTATTTTTTGCTGAGGAATTGTATTTAAGTATGAATTGTTGCTTATTCCATCTCTGAAATTTGCAGGAAAAGAAAGAACGAGAAGCTCTTGCTGCAGAAGGGGGATGGACTGTTGTTGCGCATCAAAAAGGCAGAAAGAAAACAACTGATACAGAATCTGGTGTTACTGTGGGATCTGTTGCGCAGGCTGCTGTGGTGGATAAAATGGGCAAAAAGAAGAGTAAAGAAGCTCCTCTAGATTTTTACAGGTTTCAGAAACGTGAAGCCAAGAGGAACGGTAAGTCCAAAGACTCCAAACCCCTCTATGATATTTCTCTTTGGCATTTTAAATTTGGTGCTGTAAAATGTGTCAGCCTATAGAATTTCCTATACTAAAGCAAGTGTTGTCTTCTTCCTTTGTTGGACCTTCTTGAGTTTTCGGAAGTTGTCTCTTTGTTTCAATTGTTCTCCAGCTTTTGTGGCTTGGCCTATTTTGCCAGTAATAACTCTAACCAGCATCCATAGAATCAGTCAAGTCTGAGCTTTTTTTATATCCGAGGCATGATGACCAAAAAGTTTTCACATATACATAAGGAGAATGGGGAGACGAGATGAGTGTTGTAGAATTGACTAATAAGAAGGGAAAGAAGATAAACATATTAATCTAGATTTCCGGATCAAGGTGTCATGCTGTTCAGAGAGGGTCACTTAGTTTAGCATAGGATTATCAGAAAGAAGATGACAACCTTTTTTGAATTTTTTAACAGGTTGGGAATTAGCTTGTTAGTGCTGACAGAAATACCAATTTAGAAATATCCATAGAGCTGACCCTAGTCTGTCCCTATTTTTCATGATTTCCAACTGTTATATTTTATGTCACAAAATTGGTTTCATTATGATGAGAGTCTTAAGTAGAGGTTTGAACACTGAGCCCAATAGCTCTCTTTTCAAATGTTTAGCTTGTAAAGCACAGATTTAGATATTAGAAATTTGTCATGATGAAGATCATTCTGTTAGATGAGAACATTTTATATAGAGTTAATTGCATATAAACTGGCTATAGCTGAGCTATTTTATTAGCACCTACACTACCTGAAATCTAGACAAATATTATTTCTCGCGTTTGCTTGAAATGTGACATGGAGATTCAAATGCAAAGGCGATAAATGAACCCTCTTATATCAATCATGCATGCTCACCAGCAACAGACATAAGAAAGAACATTTGAAGATTATAAACAAATAAATAAGCCCTTATGAACTTTTTCTCTCCAATCTTTCTGATTACCATGTTGGATGTTTACTTTTTGCAGAGGTTATGATGCTCCAGAGTAAATTTGAGCAGGACAAGAAACGGATACAACAGCTTCGGGCTGCAAGAAAATTTCGTCCTTATTGAAAAACTTTGCAAAACTTCCAGAAAATTTCTTTTGAATAAGTTTATTTTTCAACAGTTTCAATCTCAAGTAGTATTCTCAATTTGTGCGATTTTGTATCTGTATCATTTTTGAAGATTATGTAGATTGCTTTGTTGGAAATGTAGGAAGACTGAGACATAGTTCAATAGTTTTCTTCTTTATTTTTTTTTAAAATCAGGCTTGGTCAATTTTGGATTATGTTTTACGTAAAATATCAATTAGTTTCTTTCAGGTCTTTGATTGTTGGAATTTTTTTAAAATTGTTCACTGGACCATACAACTAGAGAAGTAAAACCTTAGTTATTTTCATTAATTTTACTTTTTTAGCAATTTTCTAGCAATTAGAAAGTGCTGCGTGACACGGATTTCCTTAACTGAGAGTTAAAAGGGACATCCTTATAAATTATATTCTCAAATTTGTATGAAAATCCCTATTGAGGTACACAGTGTCTTTACTGGGTTAATATATGCTTGAATACAGGCAATTTTGGGCCTATGAACTATAACCCAAAATTAATTAATTGTGATATTAAGCGAGCGTTTCAATGTTTTTTTATTATTTGACAAGGGTTATATATTATTTTAAACTACAACAAATATATATTATTTTAAACTACAACAAAAACAAGATCGAGTATCTACTTCTTCTAGATATGTACATATGGGTACGTATGATGCCTACTTCCTGTGTATAGCACTTAGCGTGATAAGAATGCACAAATACTATCAATAACTCAAAAGAAAAATTCACATGCAATTTATGGAAAAAACATATAATTAAAACTTTTTTTAAAAGAATGATAATATGTTTAAGGCTAAAATAAAATCGAATGTTAAGACTAGGGAAATATTATTATTAGCGTAAGTGATCTTGTGAAGGAGCTTTCCTCGGGTTTGCTTAGTGAAAAATGAAAACTTTAAGTACACTTATTATATATTAAAAATACTACAAATACAGTAATTATTATATACTATAATTGCAACCTTTCTTGCTACCTATGTCAAAAAAACCACGTTTTGTAAAAGTAGAATGGTAGCTAATTCAACAATAAGTTTTTTTTTTTTTTTTTTTGAGAGGATTAACGTTGCAACTATAATAACAAAATTATAACAATTTTAGCAGAACAGCAGAACAAATAAACAAATTCTAACTATGTTTTTCTGTTTAATCAAAAACCTTTAATTGATTTGTATTGTTTTAAGTTTTAATTTCTACACAGAGGACAAAAGCAGCAACACAAACTTAACTTCTTCCAGAGCATATACAATTTCTTGGGAACATCAGATTCAGATAGGTTATGTTACAAATATAATAGTTTATGTTGTAGTTTCCGCTCTAGATAACAAGAAATCAAGAAATGTACATGTCCAGTAGTAGCCAAAATTTATTGTATGAACCAATTACTTTCTGGTCATCTTTCAATTGCGGAACAAGAGAAAAAAATATATACAAAATGGAGTTACTTTTCGATATTTGCTCCCCTTTCTATTTACATTCTGCTACAAAAAACCCTTCGTCTACATCGAAACGCATGTAACAAATATACCCACAGAATCCCCTGTTCGACAGGTTTCGAAGACATAAAACCAGTGATATGGTGAAATTAAACTTAAGGCGTTAGATTGTCATGCACAAGATCCATCTCTAGTAGACTCCCATAATAAGCTGCAAATCCCATTATAAAACAAAAGGCGTTAGAATGTATGTCAATAAAAATAAGTTTGGGTAGCATTGGTTTAATGATTTACGCAAACAGCATATATGAATTTACAATATGGAAAACAAAATCAGAAAATTCATTAGCAATATATGCATGCAGAAGCATTCTAGAGGGGTTGTTGTTCAGCGATATATCCCAAGATCTTAAACACTCAGAATCTGATTACACAGACTGTAGAATAGTTAACCATGTAGTAACCATTAAAAAATGCGAGTTCAAAGAAAATTCCGAAACAAAATTATATACGGAGCTCTATTAGTTTCCCAACATAAGTAATCTTACTAATCAAGGTGAAGAAATATGTCACGAAAATGAATCTATCTTAGTTTCATGATCTTCTTAGTGTCAAAGTGAGTAGAGTAGAAGTTGTTTCTTTTTATGTTCTGCATTACACCATTCCTACTTCTTCAAGACTTTCTACCAGTCGTCGTTCTGATTTGACACTACTTAATAGAGGAAAAGAGAATCCTATAGAGGACCCTCTATAGGAGTATCTATTGTGGGGGGTGGGGCGGGTGGGGGTGGGGGGGGGCGACATCTGTCGTAGTTAGACCTATTAGTATAGGATGCAGTCACCGCTACACTAATAGACAATAAGGACAGCACATATATACATTGGTAGTATGTGCATCAAGATTCTTAATTTCAAATGTCACCATTTCCTTCCTACACTATGTTCTATTGAGGATAGATTTCAATTAGTAAGTATATACTTTGGTATGTTTAATATTTTCTAGACACGTGGAACAAATTAAGTTCAACATTTCATGGATAAACAAATTCAGCACTTCCTTCAATTCAAAAAAATACATGCTCAAAGTCAAACAAAATAGAAAACTATAGAGCATAAAGGAACACCTTACAAAAAGGAAGCTTATACTGCCAAGGACATTTAAAAATGAGCAAATTTCAGAAAACCTACCAAAACATTAGGATGTTTCCCGTAAAACCAATCAAAACTTTGGTTTGTGAAATTTACCTCTTTCAGAATTATGTTACTTTCACATATAAAACTCTTTATAGGATGTTTTATATGCACTTAATTACTTTAAATATTTGGACTGTACGAGGGGATATAGAATTCATTCATGATTCATAATATATATGGTAATTAACCCATAATTCATTCAAATATGCTAAAAATGTCATGATATATATGGTAATTAATCCAGAATTCATTCAAATAGGCTAAAATTGTCCACAATCTATTGAAAAATAGGATTAAATGATTAATTGCACATAGAAGATAGAACCTTGTATTATAGAATTCTGTCACGTACTAACCTTGAACTTTGATATGCGCATGTACACCCCTTACACAAATGGAGTTAGATCTCCATTAATTCCTTTTTCTATGTGGATCCCACCTGACAAATCCTCAATTTTAATCCCCTGATTGCCTTGCTGCTAATCACCCC